ATCAAGCACCCAACTATCATTCTGATAACAAACCAGTCAGCCAGCCATTCCTTCTGTCCAGCTCTGGGGAATGGCCTGGAAGGAAAGGTTACAGTTTCAGAAAGAGAAAATACCGAAAGCCAATAGCTGATGAATTGTCGGTCATGCTCTAAGGATGTCAGGAGGTGGGAGAACCCACTGCCTAGACTCTCTAAGCTGCAGCCTCAGGATGTTCTCTACCCCGGGATTTCTGATGCCAGAGGAAAGAAATGAACTAGGTGCCAAGAGGAACTGAGAAAGATGTTGGGGTCAGACCACAGAGGTTCAAATCCTGGCTCTGCCATTTAAGAGCGGTGTGACCTTGCTTGGTTAACTTAACCTCTCTGAGCCCCATCTAAAACTCAGGGATGATGGTCCTACTTGACTCCACCCTCTGGGGTTGTTTGAGGAATAAATGAGCTAAGTCATGATTTGCAGCAGATAGTACAAGGTGAGCACAGGTGCTTGATAATTTGTCAGCTGGTTTGCTGTGAGACCAGACTTGCAAGTCAAAGAAACGAGGAGGTTGGTCTCTAACAGCAACGATGTGTGGCACAGATGAGAGGAGCCAGGACATCCTCCCACCACCAGCAGAGGCCTGGGGCCATGTCTCTGTCCTCAGTGTGCTGTGTGACTTAGGACAGGTCATTGCCCTCTCTGGGCCCCTTCATTCTCTGGAGTGACCAACTCAGATCAGGGTCTCCCAAACCTCATATGATACCATCAACAATTTTTGCCACATTTGCTTGCCTGAACTGTTACCTGAGCTGTTATTTATGCAGTTAACACAAGTTAAACATACAAGTGTTAGTTGTTTAGTCATGTCCGACTCTTTGCGACCCCATGGACTGTAGCCCGCCAGGCTCCTCTGTCCGCAGGATTCTCCAGGCAAGAGTGCTGGAGTGGGTAGCCATGCCCTTCTCCAGGGGATCTTCTCGATCCGGGGATCGAACCCAGATCTTTTGCACTCCAGGCAGATCCTTTACCATCTGAGCCATGGGGGTTATGCAGTTACTGTCTTCAAACCAGAGGCTCTCTTTTTAAAGTGAAATTAATGTGGTGGAAAGAGAGGATCTTTATGGTCTTACTATCAGAAAGGGAAGACTGACATCATTCTCCATAAATAGAAGGTGACCCCGCAGATGGACAATGAGAACAGAGGGTGTTAGTGAATTCCAGCGGGAGCTGGTGCCTGAGCCTCTTCCTTCCGGAAGTTAGCACGTGTGACAGTCTCACTAGCCAGACTGACGCTTGCCTGGGACTCAGGTTGTTTGCAGTCATGAGCATTGGGAGGGGAGTGAGGCCCTGTTCCAAGAGGGGGTCCCATGTTCTCTAACAGCCCTTCCCCCCAAATCTGAAATGGGCTCAAGTTCAGTCCCCTGCCTTGGAGAGTGTGCAGTGAGCCCTGGTAATGGTGAATTGGTTTGCTTTCCTGGATTGAATCTGCTCTGCTTTCCTGGATGCCAGAGGTCTGGGGAGCTCCATGCTGACCGCCACAGGGAACCCCAGAGTCCCCATGGGGGAGGGAGGTCTGCAGAAGGTGGGCTCCTGGTGGGACGGGAGGGCAACTCGTGAACACTTGCGGAGGATGGAGCTCTCCAGTGCTCTGGTTGCAGCCCCGGCTTCCCCTCCGGCCTGCCAGGTCCTGGGTCATCAGGGAGCCGGGGACGGTCTCTGAGCAGTGGAAGGCTGAGTTCCTAGCTGAGCTGTAGGAGGTGACTCTGCCGAGGATACGAGAACCTGACCTGATGTGGCCCCTCTAACCTCTCCGTGTCTGCCCCAGGGCTGGGCGTCCCAGGTGCCACTCGCAGTAAAGAACCCGCCTGCCATTGCAGGAGACGCAGCAGATGCAGGTTCAGTCCCTGGGTCGGGAAGAGCCCCTGGAGGAGGGCATGGCAGCCCACTCCAGTGTTCTTGCCTGGAGAATCCCATGGACAGAGGAGCCTGGCGGGCTGTGGTCCACAGGGTCACAGAGAGTCAGACACAACTGACTTAACTTAGCACGCGCATACTCGTGACCAGCCTTCAACCCCTTTCCACCCCAAACCAAACTACAGGAGGTTCTGAGACCTGGTCACCAGTCCTCCCACTATCTGGCATGTCCTTCATACACACCTTTCCCCAGACTCTGGGCTCCGTCTGTTCCCTGTGCTTCCTCCTGGGTCAGTATGTTACCTTTGGCTGCAGTTGCTCCCTAGATGTGTTTCAGAGGCAGAGACTACACTCATCTCAGGGTCCTCAGTGCCCAGGCCAGGCCCGGGCATACATAAGGCATGAGATTATGTAGTGTTTAAAATCTCCAGTGGAAAAAGTCCTGGAGAGCTGACCATCCTTAAACAAGTTTCTTACTCCGTCTGAACCTTAATGTCTTCATCTGTAAAATGGAATCATAATAGTACCTAACTCCTGGGGTGTTAGGAGGGTTGAATGAAATGACCCGTGTGATGCTCCATCTCAGGCGTGCAATCCCCAGGAGCTGACCCCGGAGCAAACAATTCCAGTGCACATTGTTTATTTGGAAGGTGATCCAGGGGCTTCCCAGGTGGCACTAGTGGTAAAGAACCCACCTGCCAATGCAGGAGACATAAGATCTTCCCCTGGGTCAGAAAGATTCCCCTGAAGGTGGGCATGGCAACCCACTCTAATATTCTTGCCTGGAGAATCCCATGGACAGAGGAGCCTGGCGGGCTACAGTCCATAGGGCCTCAAAGAGTTGGACATGACAGAAGCAACTTAGCATGCTACGCCCAGGAATTAACTGTTGTGGAGTGGGGCAGTGAGACCAGGAAGGAATGTATCATCTAGCAGGTCACCTCCACGGCCCTGGGCTCAGTCCTGCTCAGGAGCTCTGGGAAGCAGTGTAACGGAGAATATAGCTGAGTTGCTCCAGCCGCCACACGAGAGCTGGGATACTGAAAGGGTGAAAGTGTCAGGCTCTCAGTCATATCTGACTCTGTGACCCCATGGACTGGAGCCCGCCAGGCTCCTCTGTCCATGGGATTTCCCAGGCAAGAATACTGGAGTGGATTGTCATTCCATTCTCCAGGAGATCTTCCCAACCCAGGGATAGAACCCCAGTCTCCTGCATTGCAGGCGGATTCTTTACCACTTGAGCCGGTAGGGAATGGGGTATTGATTCCCAGCTTTCTGGCCTTCACCAGTTGGAAGGCAGCTGTGGAAAGATACTGGCTCTGCCTGCACTTGCAGCCTGGAGCCCAAACAGGCTCTGGAGGCAGAGAGGCCTCAGGCAAAGAGGCGGGTTCCTGCAGCTGGAAGCTGTGAGGTTAGGGTGCCTCGGGAGGGTGAGTAGACTGGGTTGGGTGTGGCACCCACACTCTGCCTGGGGCTCATGGTGCAGAGTAAAAGCTCAGGAGGGGGTGCCTGCCCTGATCGTGACTGTCTCCATCTTTGTCACTATTCCCATGTCAGCCTCGCCTCCCACAGTTGAGCAACTTCAGGCAGGTCCCAACTTCAAACAGGTCTGAACCTCTGTTTCTTAGCCTATAAAGTGGGGAGATTGTGGTTCTCAGCGGAAGCAATTCTGCCCCCTTGGGTGGCCCTAGGGAATGGGGTGAGGGAGCATTTTTATTGTTACCTTTGGGGCCAAGGATGCTGCTGTACACCCCAGAACAACCCACCTGCCATGTCAGAGAATTGTCCTGCCCCAAACATCAGTAACTCCTGATGAACAAGAGTATGTCTTGTGCTATTACATGTGTATTACATGTATAATAGTACATGTTAGTAACGTATAAGTTTTAAAAATTATTTTCCTAATGTTTATTTATTTGGCTGCATCAGGTCTTAGCTGGGGCACGTAGGATCTTCGTTGCCCAAAGCACGTGGGTTTACTTGTCCCACGGCATGTGGAATCTCACTTCCCCAAGCAAGGATCGAATCCATGTCCCCTGCGTTGGAAGATCAATTCTTAACCCCAGCAGGGAAGCTCCTAATATATGAATTTTATGTGATGCTTGATGACATTTGCGGAAGTAGTCGGAGCTGACATCAAAGGTGGTAAGACTCAGAACTGGGGCAGGACTTGGGGCTCTAAGGGGGGGTGGGCGTGGGAATGTGGACCCAGAGAGAGGGGGGGTAGGAAAGGAGGACCCGCGGGGAGCCAGGTGGGGACGGCCTGGGAAGACAGGCCAGGCGGGGCTGCTGGGTAGCTTGGCTGTGGCCACATCCTTCCTGTAGGTGACCAGGCATCTTCCCGGCAGGGTGGGAGCTGCTGCCAAGCCCTGCCCACTCGCTGGAGCTAATGTCAGCCAGCTGACCCCAGGCGACTCTGAGCAAGCTACTGTCCTTCCTCAGGTCCTGAGATGCCCCTCCCGGGGATTTTCTGCCAGGAGTGAGACAGTCCTTCCTTTCCCAGGTGAAGCCACTGCTTCTCCAGCCTGGTGCTTAGAAACCAGACACATTCATTAAAACGTTTTAATAAAAAATCATAGGGGACTTCTGTGACAGTCCAGTGGTTAAGACTTCTTCCAGTGTAGCGGGTACAGGCTCAATCCCTGGTCGGGGAGCCAAGATCCCACATTCCCCATCTTTTGTGCTCAGTCCTGTCCTAACTCTTTGCGACCCTATGGTCTGTAGCCCACCAGGCTCCTCTGTCCGTGGGATTTTCCAGGCATGAATACTGGAGTGGATTGCCATTTCTCCCTCCAGGGGTCGAACATGCCTCTCCTGCATCTCTTGCACCGCAGGCGGATTCTTTACCTCTGAACCACCAGGGAAGCCCAAGACTCCACATACCTCCTGGCCAAAAAACCCAAAGCACCAAACAGAAGCAATATTGTAACAAATTCAATAAGGACTTTAAAAATGGTCCATGTCCAGAAAAGAAAAAAAAAAAAATTACAGGACAGCATTGCCAGCCTAAGGTTGAGGTTCCTGGTGGTTCCCCAAATTCAAACCTCTTGATGGATGGGGACAGGTCAGTGCTTCCGTGCTAGTAACGCCCCTTTGTCCCTCTTTGCCAGGCCTGCTCCCCTCGAAAGCTCCGTGCCAACAGAGAGGTTCCCGTCCGGGCCCAGGACGGTGGGACAGAGAGATTGAGAAGGAACGCTAAGGTCCGGAAGGCACGTGCCCCTGCCCGAAGAGTGAGGCAAGGGTGCCCGGAGACCTCGCCCGCCTATGGCGGCGTGCACACAGCCTCATCCTGGCTTCCAACCTTCTGCCTTCTCAGTGGATGTTTACACGAACCCAGCCAGAGTCAGCCTCCCTGCTTTCCACCCCCGGCTGCGTCTGCTTACCCCACTTAACCTTCGGAGAGAGAGGACACGTCATACAGAAAAGCGACTCCCAGCTCTGTTTGATGCCAGGGGAGCTGTAAGCCCTGTGGGGTCTGTCCCGAGGCCGGGCAAAGCAATATTGTAACAAATTCAATAAGGACTTTAAAAATGGTCCATGTCCAGAAAAGAAAAAAAAAAAAATTACAGGACAGCATTGCCAGCCTAACGTTGAGGTTCCTGGTGGTTCCCCAAATTCAAACCTCTTGATGGATGGGGGCAGGTCAGTGCTTCTGTGCTAGTAACGCCCCTTTGTCCCTCTTTGCCAGGCCTGCTCCCCTCGAAAGCTCCGTGCCAACAGAGAGGTTCCCGTCTGGGCCCAGGACGGTGGGACAGAGAGATTGAGAAGGAACGCTAAGGTCCGGAAGGCACGTGCCCCTGCCCGAAGAGTGAGGCAGGGGTGCCCGGAGACCTCGCCCGCCTACGGCGGCGTGCACACAGCCTCATCCTGGCTTCCAACCTTCTGCCTTCTCAATGGATGTTTACACGAACCCAGCCAGAGTCAGCCTCCCTGCTTTCCACCCCCGGCTGCGTCTGCTTACCCCACTTAACCTTTGGAGAGAGAGGACACGTCATACAGAAAAGCGACTCCCAGCTCTGTTTGATGCCAGGGGAGCTGTAAGCCCTGTGGGGTCTGTCCCGAGGCCGGGCTTAGATGCAGGGACTACTTCCGAGAGGGTGACTCAGAAGGAAAAGAACAGCTGGGGGGCTGAGGGTGGGGTTTGGACTCATTCATTTCAAGTTGTTTGCTTGCCATCAAGTTGCCAGAACTGATACATTGTGCCAGGGGTGGGTCAGCCACCCCTCCGGCCAGAAATATTTTTTGAAAATGTGAGTGGTATGAATACTTGACTTCGATAAACCTGTAAAAGCAATACTTAGGAGGCTAACTTCTTTCAATTAAAAAATGTATGCAACTCCAAGCCCTGGGGGCCCTGCCTTTTTTTTCTCCTTTGAGATTTGGGAAGGGACTCCTTACACAGAACCTCTGATAAAAGGGCAGAAGGGTCCGGACCTCCTCAGTTGGAGATCCAGTGGGGCTTGGAGGGTCTATCCAAGCTGGGCTGGTGTGGGAGTCCCACCTGGGCACCCTCCTGGTGTCCACAAGCCTCTGACAAGCCAGGACCCACCTCGGGTGTGGTGGGAAAGGCCTGATGGCCAAGCTGAAAATCAGGCCCGAATCCCACAGAAGCTGGAGGTGGGGATCCCCCATGTTGGGTGTGTGGTGGTGGTGGTGGTTGCTAGTGGCTAAGTCATGTCCGACTCTTTGCACCACCATGAACTGTAGCCCACCAGGCTCCTCTGTCCACGGTATTTCCCAGGCAAGAATACACTCCAGGAAATCCCATTTCCTTCTCCAAGGGATCTTTGCAAACCAGGAATCAAACCTGCATAATTCCTTTACTGCTGACCAACCACTTGGCGCCTGGTAGACCTCCCCTAGGGATGAGGGGAGTGAGCGGGTGAGGGAAAAGAGCAAATGGATGACTGAAGCCAGGTCTGCTTGCAGCAATTCTCTCCAGTTTGCAGAACACCTGATGCTTTTCAAAGTACCTTCATGTACACACCATGTTTAACAAGGAGTGGATGGTCAGCTCCATTCTACAGGTGAGGAGACGGAGGTATGGGAGAGGAAAGGCCTTCGGGTGATTGTAAGAAAGGATGCTGACAGGTGCGAACAGAAGACATCTGAGAAAAGGGGGAGCGGAAGGAGGGAGACATTTCTTTGGGGGAGAAGCCTAAAGGGAAAAGCAAGTGTTTAAAAGTGCATGGACAAGACTTCCCTGGCAGCCCAGTGGTTAAGACTTTGCTTCCAATGCAGGAGATGTGGGTTGGGTCTCTGGAGATCTTGAATCTCCAAGATTCCCTGGAGAAGGAAATGGCAACCTGCTCCAGTATGCTTCCTTGGGAAATCCCATGGACAGAGGAGCCTGGCGGGTTACAGTCCACGGGATTGCAAAGAGTCAGACATTAAAAAAAAAGAGACATGACTAAGCGACTGAACAACAACATATATATATATAAACATATATGTATATACACACACACAATTTAAATGCCTTAAAAAATAAATAGGACTTCCCAGGTGGCACAGTGAAAGAATCTGCCTGCTAATGTAGAAGACGCACGACACATGAGTTTCATCCCTGGGTCAGGAAGGTCCCCTGAAGAAGGAAATGTCAACCCACTCCAGTATTCTTGCCTGGGAAATCCCATGGACAGAGGAGCGTGGTGGGCTACAATCCGTGGGGTCACAAGGAGTCAGACACGACTGAAGACCCATCCACGCACACATCTCTCATTTAAAGTTGTCACTATGAATAATTCCAGCCTCTGATCTCATTTTGTCACCTGTGAACAGATCAAAAGCAGCGGCGATGATCATGCCCACCTCGCCTGATTGAAGGGTGCTGTCGATGTCTGAATCAGGAGACACTTCCTGTGGCTGCACACGTGGGAGTTCCGTGGAGTCCACAAAGCCCACACATGCAGGGACCCCGTGAGGGGTGATGCCCCGGTACAGGGCCAGAGGCCCTTAGCCCCCAGGGCGTGTGGGGCCTTCCTTCCTTAGGGGGCTTCCCCTAAGGTGGAAGGCACCACCTCTCTGCCAGGACGTCCAACCAGATAGCAGGATCAGAATCCCTCTAACGCTCTTGACCCTCAACCCCTACTTGCTGGGAAGAGGGGGAGAATCTGAGAGCCAGGCAACCAGAGCCAGACAGCTCCCAGAGCTGCCAGGAGAGAGCCAAGCTGTCCCAAATCAGGGCTTCTGACCGAGCAAGCCACACTCCGGTGAAAAACACCAACCTGGCAGTTCTGTACGTAGACAGCAAAGCTGCCGGGTCCCTTCCAGGCTTGCCATGGCCAGGGCCAGATGCCAGCTCAGCTAAGCAGCGACTCCCAGGATAGAGAGGCGGGGCAGAGACAGGAAAACACAGGGTAAAGCTCACAGGGCTTCAGCCTTGTTGACAGCCGAGTCATGAATTTTCCAATGCAGGGTAGGAAGCCATAGAGAAAATCCTTTCCCCAAAGACAGGACTGGAGCCAAAGTGGACTCTGCTGTGTGTGTTGGGCTGGGTGGGTGAGTGGGGGTGGGAGGCTGGAGGGGCCTGGGGAGGGGAGGAGAGCAAGGGTCCTGGTCAACTGGCCGTAGAATATGGCAGAAGTGATGCTGCATGTCAACCAAGGCTGGCTTACAAAAAGGACACGATTTCTCACCGTGGTCTCCGTCTCCCCCTCCCAACCTCTCTTCCTGATGGCATGATCACTCTTCAACCCAGCCTCCAGGCCGCGAGGAAGCCCCCCCCATGGAGAGCCCCCGCCCCACATCCTTAGAGGCACTGAGGCCCCCAGTCAGCATCAGGTGCCAGGCTGACCTGGAGCCGGGCAGAGAGACGAGCAGTCCCCACCAAGCCCTGCCCAAAAGACAGATGTTTAAGGGCAGAATAAACATCAGTGCTGTTTTAAGCCACTACGTTTTGAGGGTGGCTTGTGATGTGTTAGCTAGCCAGAAAAGTGTGCACCCCAAATTTAGTAATCACAACATAAACACAGGACCTGCCCGTGGGATTAAGTAACAGATTTATATGTAGTGGAAAAAAAAAAAAACAAACAGGAAATGGAGGCAAAAAGGCGAATGTGGTCCAGGCCATGGCCTCGCCCCTCCTCCGTTAGTGTATATCGTCAGCTCTTTCCGCGTGAAAGAGTGCATCTGGCCAGGCCTAGCTTTGGCCTCGGCCAAAACAGTCAGTGCAAACCAGTGAGTCCCAGAGACAGAAGGCAGCTGCCGAGAATTTCCAGTGGTCGCGCTTTGGGAAATGAACAGGCTGGATGATGCTCACAGGTGTCCTTGGAGCCAGTCCTACTAGGAGAGCAGCGTGGAGACGTGCTTTTCCCCCAGGCCACAAGGGACCTGGGCAGGCGGATATGTGGCCGCCTCACCCATCACCCCGGCCTTGGCCACGGCTGTCTGCAGTGTCCTTTGGGAATGCCTCAGGGCTCCCGGGCATTCAGCAGCAGCCCCCGGGCGCCCGCCCACCTGCCAGAGCCGCGGTGGCTGAGCGGGGCTGACATCTACCTGGGGAACTGAGGGGTCGGTCCGCAGAGCAGGCAGTGGGTCCTCTCTCCAGCTGGGTGGGAGCCGACCCTGAGTCACCGGCGTTGGGCACAACAATGCCACGTCCCACAGGACACAGGCCGAGAAAAGCCGTGTCCCCAAAGCACCAGGCGAGGGTCCAGCACAGTCAGTGTCCTCAGAGAGCGTGCTGTGGGAGGCTGGGAGCGGGGAGATGAGGAAGCTTTAGGACAGGGCAGGTCAGCACACGGCGAGAGCGTGGTTGAGCCCGGGGATGGGAGGGGTGCGGGGATGGAGGAGGGGACAGCCCACGTCGGGGCTGGGGAGGGGCGCATGGAAGCGAGAGGACAGTCACGTGCACAGAAATTGGTAGAACGAATTCCTCTGAGGACAAGGCCGAGCAACGGGGCAGCCCGAGGACTGAGATAGCAGCCGGGCTAGCTGGGGCATCCGTGAAGGAAGACCCTTCAATGCTGAGGGCCACGGGGTGTGCACGCTGACCTGCCTGTCCTTCCCCGGGGCCCCAGACTTGACCACAGGGAGGATCCCCAAGGCCCAAACCCTCAGCGCATTTAGAGGACACCCCAGCAGAGAAGGAGGCGGGGTAGGGGGCCGGCCGACAGAACACGGGTCCAGGAGGGGTCACCCAGCTCCTAGCCGCTGCCCCGCCCACCGTTTCCGGATACTGACTTCACGGGGCCCTGTCCCTGGAGCCCCCCGGGGCTCTCCCCTCCCAAGTTCACCTCAGTTCCCTCGTCCCAGCCACAGCCTGGATCATCTCAGGATGATTCTGGGGTCCAGCTGCTGCAGATGCTCCTGGACGCCAAAGGGGATGGTAGGCGTCCACATCCTGTGAGGGGGCGTGGCACATGGAGGCCAGCTCAGAGGGCGGGGGTGGTCCCGAGTCCCCAAGGCAGGCTGCCTCCAAATTCCTCCTCCCACCCAGCTTAGTGTGGGGTCACAGGGACACCAGAAGTCTGGTGACCCCCC